CCCTCCACCCCGGAGACAACCGAGTTCTCGTGTGTTGCCTGTGTGTGCGTGTGTGTGTGTGTGTGCAGTGGTGGTTTGGGTGAGGGACAGAAGCGCGCTGCTCTTGATTTTGAGTTGCCCATGATTGAGGAGGGGTTCAGGCAGCTGACGACTGACGAGTGGCAGCCCGAGGTAAGGTGCCTGCACTGCCCTCACAGACCAGTTTGTGTGTACCTTACCTTGGTTCGAGAAGTGGGTCTACATCATCGTTAACAAAAACGTCAACCAGAGGTACACACACACACACGCACAGCGCGCCCACATGGACAAGTGATTGGACGTGTGTGTGTGTGTCCGTGTGTGTGGTCAGGTTTGCCGTGCGCAAGCCGGGCGGCGGCCCGCTCGAGAATCCGCCGCCACTAACCGTCTTCGACCAAGGTAAGGTACACGCAAACATATTCACATAACAGACAGACAGACGTATCGACTTATCAAGATTGGCCCCCACTGCACTGAGCAAATGCATCCATCTGATCTGCTCATCTCTCTCTCTGTGCTGTGCTGTGTGTGTCCTGTCTGTGCAGGGGTGACGGACAGCACTCAGTATGTCTTCTACGGCTGCCACCAGTTCGTCACACAAGGCAGGGCACCAACAGCACAACACACCCGAGAACTCTCACCACCGAAATTTCATTCTGTGTGCGTGCATTTCTGTGTCTCCCCTCCCTCCCTCCCCTGAATCCCTCTGTCTGTCGTGTGGGCCTGACTGGCACAGGCACCGTGACGCCCACTAAGTACGAGGTCTACGGCATGTCCGCCAACTGGGATGCCGACATGCGGTTCGGCGTCAACGGCCTCTGCCGCATCACCATGCAACTCAGCACACTATACCAAAACTGGAGCGGTACACACACACACACACACTGAAGGAGGGAAACGGAGGCATACAGACAGACAAACACCCAATTGCAAACACCCTTGGCTCTTTCAGGCCCCATTCGTGTGCCGGCACCCGTGAAGTACGCCGAGACGTGAGGAGACACAAACAAACGGCCCACCCGCTCGTGCGTGTGTGTGTGTGTGGATGTCTCTCTCTGTGTGTCTGTGTGTGGACGTCACTTACGTGTCTGTCCATCCATCAGGTGTGCGCGTAAAGTGACCGAGGCGCTGGACAACCAGGTGCCGTCGGACCAGCTCGCCACCAAGCTCTGGTTCCTGTAACTGATAAACTAATCCAATGACTGAGTGAGAGGACAGACTACCGTCCGTCACACAATGAATGAGCGAGCAAGAGGGCGGGGGGGGGGGG